CTGGTCTTGTTTCTATATTCTGTGGCCTTTCTCTTCTTATCATACACTTCGTATACATTTTTTCTCTTTCGACCCTCAGCCATTTTCAAAGGAATGGCTGAAACCGCAACTCCGACATAATACACCTGAAAGTGAAAACTACATAGGGATGAGCACGTAAACATATCACCAGAATGATTGACACTTAGGTGGACCAATAGTATAGACTACCCACCCGGAAAAAGAAAATCCTCCGCTATACCTTTAATAATAACTATTTCTGTTGTCAATTTTTAAATGCAGGTCAGAACTGAAAATCATCTAACGTTTAATTATTAAATTATTTCCATTGAGATCAGTTGATTTTTTTTTTGTCCACCCTTGAGGATGTATGATTACATGATTATATTATTACGAGATAATAACATAATAACCCATAATAATCCATGATTGTATTATTACGAGATGATAACACGTTAATAAATATGTAATAAGGAATATAAAATGAATATGCAATATGTGAATTATCTATTTTTATGGCACTACTCCAACGTTTTAAATCCGGAGAGAACTAAATTGAATTTCAGTTTGAAACGCAAGCCCCTGAAGCGTTCGATAGTCTTTTGTTTTAATATGACACCGTTATGTAGTAGTACTTCACGATCACAACGTGATGAGTAGAGTTTAAATGCAGTTTAATGTGTTCTACACAACATTAAAGTTTATTAAGGAATAATGGACCATTAGACTGTAATGTAGGCTCATACTGCTTAACATTCAGCTGTGGATACTAGAAGCCTGCTTTCTAGGGCAGAGATATAGGCACATTTAGACATCAATTAAGATTATTATCTGTTCTTTTAGATTGGGTCATTTTAACATTGATGAGGTGATTTGAAGTCGTGGATGAAGTTTTGGTTAGCTAACATGGGTGTAGCATACTTTTTTAATTGTCAGGGAATTTGAAGCACCCATCATTCTTTAAGCTGATGGAAGTCACCCAGGTGTATTGAATAAAGATGGTTTATTTCAGCTTTGAGTGTTAAATATCTCTGTTTTTATGGGAATGTGGATCTTTCAGATCAATCTGAGAAGATTTCAGATCAATCTCTTTTGATCATTTTTCACATTTTATTGTGTGGGGCGCTGGTCTTGGTCTTGACTCGGTCTCGCCCTACCTCGGTCTTGGTCTTGTCTTGGTCTCGGCCCCTAAAAGTCTTGGTCTTGACTCGGTCTCGCCCTCCCTCGGTCTTGGTCTTGTCTTGGTCTCGGCCCCTAAAAGTCTTGGTCTTGACTCGGTCTCGCCCTCCCTCGGTCTTGGTCTTGTCTTGGTCTCGGCCCCTAAAAGTCTTGGTCTTGACTCGGTCTCGCCCTCCCTCGGTCTTGGTCTTGTCTTGGTCTCGGCCCCTAAAAGTCTTGGTCTTGACTCGGTCTCGCCCTCCCTCGGTCTTGGTCTTGTCTTGGTCTCGGCCCCTAAAAGTCTTGGTCTTGACTCGGTCTCGCCCTACCTCGGTCTTGGTCTTGTCTTGTCTCGGCCTCTAAAAGTCTTGGTCTTGACTCGGTCTCGCCCTCCCTCGGTCTTGGTCTTGTCTTGGTCTCGGCCCCTAAAAGTCTTGGTCTTGACTCGGTCTCGCCCTCCCTCGGTCTTGGTCTTGTCTTGGTCTCGGCCCCTAAAAGTCTTGGTCTTGACTCGGTCTCGCCCTCCCTCGTCTTGGTCTTGTCTTGGTCTCGGCCCTAAAAGTCTTGGTCTTGACTCGGTCTCGCCCTCCCTCTGTCTTGGTCTTGTCTTGGTCTCGGCCCCTAAAAGTCTTGGTCTTGACTCGGTCTCGCCCTCCCTCGGTCTTGGTCTTGTCTTGGTCTCGGCCAGTAAAAGTCTTGGTCTTGACTCGGTCTCGCCCTCCCTCGGTCTTGGTCTTGTCTTGGTCTCGGCCCCTAAAAGTCTTGGTCTTGACTCGGTCTCGCCCTCCTCGGTCTTGGTCTTGTCTTGGTCTCGGCCCCTAAAAGTCTTGGTCTTGACTCGGTCTCGCCCTACCTCGGTCTTGGTCTTGTCTTGGTCTCGGCCTCTAAAAGTCTTGGTCTTGACTCGGTCTCGCCCTCCCTCGGTCTTGGTCTTGTCTTGGTCTCGGCCCCTAAAAGTCTTGGTCTTGACTCGGTCTCGCCCTCCCTCGGTCTTGGTCTTGTCTTGGTCTCGGCCCCTAAAAGTCTTGGTCTTGACTCGGTCTCGCCCTCCCTCGGTCTTGGTCTTGTCTTGGTCTCGGCCCCTAAAAGTCTTGGTCTTGACTCGGTCTCGCCCTCCCTCGGTCTTGGTCTTGTCTTGGTCTCGGCCCCTAAAAGTCTTGGTCTTGACTCGGTCTCGCCCTCCCTCGGTCTTGGTCTTGTCTTGATCTCGGCCCCTAAAAGTCTTGGTCTTGACTCGGTCTCGCCCTCCCTCGGTCTTGGTCTTGTCTTGGTCTCGGCCCCTAAAAGTCTTGGTCTTGACTCGGTCTCGATACACTCTGGTCTTGGTCTTGTCTTGGTCTCAGGTTAGGTGGTCTTGACTACAACACTACCTCAGAGCCACACCCACCTATTACATCATCACCATAGACCAAGTTTTTTACCAGTCAGAGTGAACTTTTCCTGGAAGCTGCTTTTAACTCCAGTGTTCGCCATTTTGTCACACCAGTTTCCACCAGTGTACCAGGGTCTTCACTCATCTCAGGGTTTGGGCCTTCAGAAAACATACATCATCCCTGCAGACAGTGGACGAGGAAACGCATCAGTATCAGTCAACAACAACAGGCTGACATTTGTTTACTTTCATACATCCAAGACATCAATAATGTTGTGTGTTTTCTGGATGTTTCTGATTGAAAGTTGACGGATGTCCCTTTTCTTTTCAGTCCAAAAGCTGGTTAAATATTTTCACTCTGGACCATATCCGTATTTTAGCTACATTGACATCACTCCCACAATAATGTCTATTTTTCAGGATCAACCAATTTTCTACTATTCGTCTCAGTGTCGGGAGAGATAATAAATTTGTTTCTTTTTCATTGTCTTGTCATCTAAGAATAACCGCCGCAGCAGAGAATGCTTCAGGTCTGATTGTAGTGTGCGGAAAATTAATCAAAGCCTCAGAACAGATCGAGAACCAAGAGCAGATTAAAGAGAAGTGCAATCTGCGAACACTTCAACATGATCAAAGTATTCGACAAATCACTGCTAATCAATCCAAACAATCTCAAATCAGCGCAAATGCACAGATAGCATCATCAAATGAGAATGATCACCGGAGAACGTCACACGTAAAGTATTGTTTATTACTTCTTTTTTAGGCAAATTGATATTTCTCTTCTTTCTGTCTATCTCAGCCCTCATGGTTTTGCCTCATCAGCAGTCGCAGTCTACATGTGCAATTGGCTGATTTGTCAAGGGTAACTCCAGAAGATTCTGATAGGCACTTGGCAAATCACCCAGTTGATCTAAAATATCGACCGGCCACAAAAAGTCATTACACACAATCATGGCAGGCAGGACCTTGAGTGTGTGACTTAATTAGGTTTCAAATGCCACCAGATGTGTTCTCAGAAGCACAAAACGACCTGAGTTTCAAATGGTTGAAGATTATATGCAATTGGTAACAGTTTCTCATGCTACTAACCTTAGTATCTAAGTTGATTATGGGTTTATTTGTAGTTCTACTGGAATAAGACGGGATTATTTTGTGTGCATACATTTCAGTTTTGGAGATTAGTCAGGATTAGTCATAAACAGATTTGTATGCTTCTGCCACAATTTGTGCCGTAGTAATCATGTAAAGGGGGCAAAATATGACGTTTTTAAGCAATAGGTGATTGTTTATTCTTAAAAAGATTATTTTGAAAAAACAACTGGATATGCTTTGTGTTCCCAGCAAGAGAGAAGTGTGAGCGAGAAAAGCTCGACTGTGGGTGGTTTATTGGTAATACAACGTGATCTCATTTGTATTTGTAGGTATGCAACTTTAAGGACAAAAATGTACAAATCGTTTGAGTTTCATCAAATTGATTGGTTGATTTTATTGAATTTATAATGGATGATGTTAATTAATTGTGTCAATCATCTGCTGCTCCCTGTATTTGCATTTTTTTTATTGTATATTTATGCAGCAGTTATAAACTATTTATTACCACTTTTTGAGCATAGACCTGAAAATGAAATTTCCAATTTAAACTCTCATTTTGAATGCTTTGGAGAACACGCTGAAGTTTGGTCTCTTTTTAAAGAAGACACTTGGCAAAATGAAATTATGAAAAATAGAGACATTTTTTGTTTGTAACTCAAAACTGTGAGAAAATCAAGTTAAGGTTGATATCTGAAAAAATGAGCTTTCAGTAAGATTTTGTTTGGGTGCAGTACCAAACATTTCCACTAGATGAAATTCGTTTTTTTTTCCATTACTTTCAATCATTTGACCACGAGGAGTACAAGTGTGACTCTTTTTCTTTCTTTCAGGACCATTTAACCTTTTGGAATCATGTCCATGATTTTCTTTTTTCTGTATTCGCATAGCAAGTTTCACGCCATTTCGACAAAGAAAAAAAAAAGACGTTTTCTTTTTCTGTTAAAAATGACTGAAGCACATGTGTGGGTATTTCTCTGAAAAGACTTTGGGTCATTTAGTGATTAAATATTTTTTGCACTTTTGCAAATTTTATGACAATTGCAGTTCCAGCTTTTAGATTTCTAAAGTGCATACGTAAAAAAATAAAAATATTAATAATATTAATAGGAGTTGTCAATGTTTTGATACTGTGTTGAGTCAATGTCTGTCCAAACCAGATCTTTCTTATTTCAGATTTAGGATCTATAGATAATATGGTACTGGAGTTTGCATTATTGTTGTGGTCTTGTTTCAAGCTCAAATATTGCCCAATTGTCTATGCTGTTTATTATTGAAATATCCAAATACAATGTTAAAATGGAGAGAAAGCATATTTTATTTGTCAAAACGCATTGATGAATTAAAAGTCTGCTAATGATTTTGCCTTCTCCTCCAGAAAACAAAGATCTCCACGTATGATAAGATGTGGGAGTTCATGAGCAGTCGAAGGCATACGGTCATGGTGAAGAGCATCGAGGAAGGAATCGAGCGCGTGCTCACCTCAGATTATGCTTTTCTTATGGAGTCCACCACCATCGAGTTCGTCACCCAGCGCAACTGCAACCTCACACAGATCGGAGGCCTCATAGACTCCAAGGCCTACGGGGTTGGCACTCCCATGGGTAAGGCACTTGGCAATATTAGTTTTATTTGAATAATTTATCATTTACTTAACTCACACTGCATTCTTGTTTCATGTCTAAAGCTGTTTCATGCTGCTTGTATCACTTTGCATGCATGAATAATTTTAATTGATGTGAATATTAATAAGCACTGCTTTTATTATTTGGTATGTAGCCATGTAATAAGTGGAACCCTTCACTTTGTATCAGGATTTTCTAAATATATATAAAAAAATAATAAAAAAAAATGAGGAGGAGGGTGGTGAATTACGTCCCGGGTCACTAAGACCCGAGGTGTGTGTTTAAGGGTTAAATGAACTGCCAAATTCAGCATTTTGTCTCTAATGCAACACCAGCCACCATTCAAATTGCACAAAATGAAATTGCAAAATGAAAATACACTCAATGGAAAGACGTCAATTTCGCAAAAACTCCCGTTTATCGCAAAAAAGTTTTTACGCTCACATGAGGTTTTTCAGACAATTCGAAAAAGGAATATTTCGCAAAACTGCAATGGAAACGGGTTTTGCGGATTTACACCACCTGACGTGTCCGCAACTAATAGTAATAATTATCATCATTATTATAACATTTATTAGGCGACATATGTAGAAGACGCTTTTATCCATAAAAGGAACAAAGCAATTCGTCACTTCATTCATAATACAGGTTGGGAAATAATAATACTTGGGCTAAGATTATCACAAATAAACACAAGATTTTGACGTGCAGTGGAGTGTGTAGCGCGCACTGGACGGCAGCAAGGCGCGGGCACTTGCATTTTCCTATCAACAATGGAAACAACTTAAAATACTCTATCATTTCTGGTCATACAGAAAATAATAATACATTTTTTGCCACTACTTTTATTTGCGCAATCTCACACTATCAAGAAAACGTTGTTTTGCAAAATAAAATAAAACAATCAAACTGAAGCGCGAGAACTGAAACCATAGGTTAAAGCTTGAAATGCACTTTAAAACGTATAAATTTGAATCGTAAGCTAATACCTTCTGATTATGAAATGTGCATTTCTCTCTAAAGGTACATCCAGAGATGGAGATATGTTTTTAGCCGACACTGATTTAGGAAAACAATAGTTTATTAATAATGCCCCGTTCTTTTTTCAGACACATTTATTATAGCCTGTGACTCACCTATAGCTAAATCACCTTTCTGTAGGCTGTAGCTATGGCTCTTCTCATTCAGATGGGGGAAAAATATAATTTCCAGGTTCTAATTTGGCCTTAGAAAACCAGTAAAATCATCATTTTTTTTCCATATTAATTTGTAAATATTTTTAAATGTTTAATAAAGGGGCAAAAAGTCATAAACAAATATCTAAAAAAAAATGTCCATATATATATAAATATATATATATATATAGAGAGAGAGAGAGAGAGAGGGAGGGAGGTTTTTGTTTTTGTTTTTGTTTTTACAGGTCAAACTAAAATGTTTAATTCAACTTTGCGTTTTAAAAATACAACAACCGTCCATTTTTCGTTTTGCAATTACGGGTTAAGTAAGGGAAAAATGAATGCAAGTACACTGACCGTTTGGACATAGCTAATACGAGACAGACTTTTTTATTCAATTCATAAAAGAAAAAATAATAACAGAAATAGCAAACTGGATTTTAAACCTCAAAGAATTGCCACAATCAAGACCTCAAAGCAGAAATAAGGGAGAAACACTCAGGAACTCTGTGTCTTTCCGTGCCTTTGACGCTTGGATAACACACACGTCTCCTTACAAAAATAATAATAATGTCTAGTGTGGTGGCTGTGATATAAACCTACCAACGTCCGTTGCCATGATTTTTCGAATGACTTATCGCGAGAGGAAAAAAAATACATTTTAGTTACATAACATCGGTTAATGGAAACGCCGTCATTTCGCAAAAGTTTTTTATCGACATTTAGAAAATAGAGCAAAACGGTAATGGAAACGGTTGTCAATCAGTCTCTCAAACAACATCACTGCTCTAATCAATAATCAATTACAGCTATTAGCCCAGATCTGAACACATGTGCATTATCAAATCAAAACCATCTCTATTTAGCTAAAATATTTATTATCAGCAACATTACCTAAAAAAAAAAAAAAAAAAGTCAAAAACATGATTGAAATGAGAGACAGTCGTTTATCATCACATCTCTGCCATGCAGAAGTGTATTCTCCTCAAAGTGTGTTTCTCTCAGACTGCAGCGTCGACTCAAATCTTCATTTCATTTTGATTAATGACTGTCTGGCTCTGTCGGTGAAGGTGAAGCGGTTGAGGTTAGCGTCTCAGTGAATGTGCAGAAACGCGGACCCCGAGGCAAACGTGCATGAAATAGACGAATGGATGAGATAAATAAATGAAACGAGAAACTGTGAGGCGTTTCCCCTCCTGTGCATAAGATTATCGGGCTCACGGGCAGATTGTCTTAATCCGGTTATACATGCGGCTGCGGGCTGTGTCAGTCCTCACAGTAAGACTTGAGACCAAAAACATCCAGAGTTGTACATGATACCGCTGGAAGACATCTCAACACAATGACCCTGAAACACTTCGCTTATCACGCGTTTGTAGGAAAGGGAATTACGATTTCTACTATTTTCTTCACATTCCTTTAGAGTAAGCAGTCCATCCATTTAGAGAAATATGCAAAAATATTTCTTTTGTGTTCATTCGTTTTATTCGAGAGAAAGCTGAAGCTCGTGGTTGTAGAATAACTTGGACCTGAAAGCTGCATACTCAACAAATGGCCTCAGCGTGGGATCGTATCGGATATAAAACAGCACGATCCATTACATGCAGAATTGCTTTGAAAGGACTAAAATAACCAAGAATGGAAAAGGCACCTTAATGTGAGGATGAAAGGCCTGTGGCCACCTCTGAAGCAGGACTCCTCTACCTCAGGCTCCTGTCAATCCGCCAAATGAAAGAAAAACACAAGCTTTATTTCACTCATCCAGAACTGGTGTATTGTGTTCAGTTTGCTGTGGTTTTGTGTGTGAAATATGTCGACGTGCATGATGAGGTCATTAGTAGCAGACCGAGACCAAGGCCGGGTGAAACCGAGTCAAGGCCGGATTCAAATTCATTTGAAAGATCCACATTTCCCACCAAAGAAATGTTAAATATTTAATCAATAAATGCAATTAGAATAATAAGACACTTTATAGAGCTATTAACAGCTAAATGTTGCATATAGAAACACGATGAAGAAATAAAATGAGCATTTTAAATATGAAACTAAAACTGCCAGTTGTTGGCAGTAAATCACTTAATGAGTGAGTCACTGAATCATTCATTCAACCGATTCGTTGAAACGAATCACTGCCGCGTGTTGCACCGGAACAACACTTCTGCTTCGGATATTTTTGAAATTATTTTCATAGCCAAAATGGAGCAAAAACTTTAAAAATGGAGTCTTAAATGTTAGTTAGTTGTTAACTTCTGGTTTATTGAATGTTTGCATACAAGAAATATCACATTTGCAGTTGTGTGCATATTAGTGAAAACAGCTCTGTGATATTGCTTAATTAATTAAAACAACAACAAAAAAAAATCTTTTTGTTTGCATTTTACTACATCATTTCACTTTTTTGCAATTATATCTTGGATTTTGTGGGCATTTGTAAACTTTTTTTGACACAATCCCGTGTTAATTTCGAACCCATCAGAAATAAGTTATTTATTGCATTTGAAGCAGAAAGTTTTACAACTATTCAAATTAATGATGTTAACATATAAATAAGACAATGCACAGGCAGTTTAGGGTACGTTTACACAACAACGATATGCTTAAACGGAGAGCTTTTCCTTTGAGTTCTTCACGTACAGGCGACACCATTGTCAAAACGATTCCCATGCACACGGATCCGCGAAAACGACTGAAAACCCTGATTTCTGCTGCGGGGCCAGTAGATGGCGATGAAACACTATAGACTGAACACGTAATACGCATGTGTATGATGTCATCGTCTTCAGAGATTCGCGTTTTTGTCGTTTACACTTTTCAAAAACTTGCACTTTGAAACCCGTTTTCCAAATGTTGCATTTTCAAGCACACAAACCGTTGTTGTTGAGTAAATGAACGGCCAAAAACGCATAAAGAGTTTTACATTTGGAATGTAGCACTATTTATGAACATATTATAAAGTAAACTTTTAACTCATATTGCGTTGGGGTCAATTTGACCCCTATTTGAGACTTGAAACACTGGTAAACTGATTTATTTATTCTTGAAATGTTGTGAATATTTCTCGTTTAGGGTCATGAATGTGCATACAAAGTTATAAACCATTGATGTGAAAGTTATAAACCGTTGATGATTTTGGAAGGCCTGTACAAATTTTGGTTGCATTGATTATATTGGGGTCAAGTTGACCTCGATTGGTTTCCATTCAATTTGACATTTATAAAAACAGCAGAGTCAGGTAAATAACAGAAATTGTTGCTTTTCAAACACTACAATATTAACATTTTTCAAAATGTATGAAATGTAAGACTTGAAGTTTACTCAACTGAAAACTCATCTTTTGAATCAGACGAATCAATGTTTCTATGTATGAGAACTATTGTTGCGACACTAAAAAAGTAGGTGAGAAACACATTTTACCCTCACAAGGCTTTGAGAGCCAGACATAAAAAAGGCAGAATACAATAGAAATAACAAAATTGAAGATGTGTTGACCCAAAAATGAATATTTTGTCATCTTGCACTGTGTTATTTTAGCTCTTGCTTGAAATACAAACAGTGATCTTAGACAGAATATTCAAGCTTCTTGGAAATGCTCCATACAACAAATCTGGATAGAGTTTTTTTTTACTGCTAAGCTTCAAAAAATTGAAACAAATATCAATACAGCATGTAAGCACCTTAAAAGTAGTCATATATATATATATATATATATATATACACACACTATACATGTAACTGGTGGCTCGCGACACCAGTTATAAATTATACTTGTCTGCGTTGTATAAAGACACTGGACCACAGGCGGCG